TATCAAACACACATGCACTCTAATAATAATAAAGTTTAAAGAAATTATGACTTTCACAGATTAGAAATGTTTCCACTTAGAAGTGTTTCTAAAATACTAATGAAAATAAATAAATAAAATTTATAATGTAAAGACAGGTATGGTGGCACACGACTATAAAGCCAGGATTTGGGGGATGGAGGCAAGTGGACCTCTGTGAGTTTGAGACCAGCCTGGTCTAGTGAGCCCCAGGCCACCAGCCAGGGGTACATAGTGAGACCCTGTCTCGAAAACAAAACAAATTGTCGTTTAAGAGAAATAAGAGCACACCACAGTGGAATTTCCATGTAGAAATGTATGAATGTTAATTCACAGTATGGGGCAAGGGAAGGTTTACTGTTGATAAACCTATGGGCTGTTAATTCTTTATGGTAATTGCTTATTTTCTTTTTAAAGCTGTAAATTTCATTTGCGATCATCCAGACATCAAAGCAATCAGCTTTGTGGGCTCCAACCAGGCAGGAGAGTACATCTTTGAAAGAGGGTCAAGAAACGGCAAGAGGGTTCAGGCCAATATGGTAACTTCCCACTCCTTTTGCTTCTCAGACTTGGCTGTGTGGCTATGTAAGGCCTGGGGATGTCCTCAGTAGACGGCCAGTGTTTGTCATTCGTCCTGAGTGTCTGCTGCCTTAGTCCCTGAACCTTGTGGAGTTTAATTCTGTTATGGTGATCATCTTTTACCATATACAATTAATCTTGGTGACAAAGGGCACATTCCACCTCAAAAATGTTGCTTCAATTCTTTAGTCTTCAGCATTAACAGCCAATTTTCCCTTTCTAGACCTTATTTCTTGCTTCTTTTAAAAGTATATCTTAACTACCAATGGTATGGCTTAAAAATATGATAAAGGTATGGTTACCCCTGAGGTTATTTATCTGTACAACCAGTTTGTCAAGGAAATGAAAGGGGCCAGTCCACAGAAGGCACTGGTTCATGTGTCCTCATATAATACATAGTTTACTTTTGTATTCTACTATTTTTTTTTTTGTTTTGCTTTGGTTTGATTTTTTGAGACAGGGTTTCTGTGTGTAGCCCTGGCTGTCCTGAAACTGACTTTGTAGACCAAGCTAGCCTTGAACTCAAGAGATCTGCCTGCCTCCACCTCCCAAGTGCTGGGATTAAAGGTGTGCACCAACACTGCCCAGTGTCTACTAGTCTCTTAACCTGTCAATTTGAAAGTAACAGCCTCCCCACCACTACCACCTTGTAAATGGTTTTGACCTAAATAGATACATATCAGTTTCTCAAGAAGATTAAAATAACACGGAGCCTGTTTAGTATTGCTTAGACTTCAGCAGTATTAAAAACAATCTCTGGCCTGTGCTACAGAGTGAGTTCAATACTAGCTTTGGCAACTTAGTGAGAATTTGTCTCAAAGTAAAATGAAAAAAAAAAAAAAGAGAGAGAGAGAGAGAGATACCTCAATGGCTGACACTTCCTTGGCGTATATGAGGCCTACATTCAATTCCCAATACTACAAAAATTTGAAATTAAAAAAAAAATTGTTTTAAATCTTTGTTTAAAATAACAAAAGATAGTCTTTCCTTAGCTTCTCATTTTATGTATCGGATTCTTTGCGTAAGTTCTTGGCTTAACTTAATTTAGCTAAGAAGACCTGTGCGCTTTCTGCACTTCTTCAGGGAGCCAAAAACCATGGGGTAGTCATGCCGGATGCCAATAAGGAAAACACTCTCAACCAGCTGGTCGGGGCCGCATTCGGAGCTGCTGGCCAACGCTGCATGGCTCTTTCAACAGCCATCCTCGTAGGGGAAGCCAAGAAGTGGCTGCCAGAGTTGGTGGAGCGGGCCAAAACTCTGCAGGTCAATGCAGGTAATCAGGCACCTGCCAAGTAACTTCAGACTTTGCTTCTCTGGCACTAACTTTTTAGATTTGGCCTTGTCCTTGTCCAAGGGAGCAGTTGTATATACTCCTGCCATTACCTCTCTTCAATTCTCCTTGTCATTCAGAGTTATTTCAGCAGTGAAATTTTATGTTAATAACAACCTTTGACACGTCTACTTGTTTTACAGGAGACCAGCCTGGAGCTGATCTCGGCCCTCTGATCACTCCCCAGGCCAAAGAGCGAGTCTGCAATCTGATTGATAGTGGAAAACAAGAGGGAGCTTCCATCCTTCTGGATGGGCGAAAAATTAAAGTCAAAGGCTATGAAAATGGTAACTTTGTTGGACCGACCATCATTTCCAATGTCAAGGTAAACAACTCTGGATTATTTCACAAGTGCAACAACTGAAAACACCTTCAAGGCTGTGGAATCTCTAATTTATAAGTAAAGATATTAAAGAGGCTAACTCTTGCCAGGATTGCTCAGTTATTCTGTCTGAAAGCTAAGTTAAGTCTGAATTCCTGACTTCCGACCAGAGTTCTTTTCACTATGTAGCACATGTCCTGGTTGGCTTTCTATTGCTGTCATAAAACATGACTAAAGGCTACTTAGGGGCAAAAATGGTGTATCTGGTTCTTTTGTTCTGATCAGTCAGTCAGTCAGTGAGGGAATTCAGAGTAGGAAATCATGGCAAGAACATAGAAGCAGAAACTGAAGCGGAGACCATGGAGGAAGGCTGCTTACCGGCTTGATCCTCATGACTGGTTCATCCAGGACCACCTGCCCAGGGATGGCACCACCCACAGTGGGCTGGGCCCTCTATCACCAATAATTAACCAAGAAAACACCACACAGATATGACCACATGCCCATTTGCTGGAGGCAATTCCTCAGTTAAGGTTCCCATCCCAGGTGACTGCTGGGATGTGTCAAGATAACACAAAACCATCCAGTATAGCAGATTGTCCCTGGAAGGCAAGGTATCCTCAGCTTTGCAGAGATGCAATCTCTGTGACAGCTATTCAGGTGTGTAGTATAAAAATCAATCACAAGTACGTGGCTATGTTCCAGTAAAATTTATTTATGGACACACATTTGGATTTTATAATTTTTGTTTGTTTTGTTTTGTTTTTCAAGACAGGGTTTCTGTATGTAACAGTCCTGGCTGTCCTGGAACTTGCTTTATTTATAGACTAGGCTGACCTCAAACTCACTGAGATCTGCCTGCCTCTGCCTCCCCAGTGCTGGGATTAAAGGCGTGTGCCACCACTGCCCAGCTGGATTTTATAATATTATGTAATGAAATACTCTTCTGAATTTTTTCCTAACCATAAAAAAGGTAAAAACTATTCTCAGCTGTGGGCTGTATAAAAACAAGCAGCTGCCGCATTTGCCCGATAGGCAGTCGTTAAAACCTTTGTCTTACAGTTCCCTTTCCCACCTGCTCCTAACTACTGTACTGTCCCAATCAATATATTAACTACCCAGTATTTATAGAATATCTTGCCCTGTGCCCAAAAGTTAATTTCATCTTTACCAAAATGAAACAAAAGAAAAAGAAAGCTGGGCGGTGGTGGCGCACGCCTTTAATCCCAGCACTTGGGAGGCAGAGGCAGGTGGATCTCTGAGTTCGAGGCCAGCTTGAGCTACAAAGTGAGTTCCAGGAAAGGTGCAAATCTACACAGAGAAACCCTGTCTCAAAAAACCAAAAAAAAAAAAGGAAAAGAAAAAGAAATCATCTATCAATATTTATTTATTAAAGTTTGAGAGTCTCTCAGCTCCCATTCATGACCAAATTGAGGCAGACTTTTCGTTGTGTGTCTTCATGAATCCCGAAAGATCACGGGTTGAAGTTTCTTGCCACAGAACTGAGAGGAAAATGTATTGGCAGCAGACACAGCTGGCTTGGTGCAATGGTGAAGGATGTTTTGAATATTTGACAAGAACCCAGTATCAAAACTGGAGACTTATTTGGAGGCAAAGGAATGGATGAGAAAGGATGTTTGTTACAAGGCATTCCGCAAGGAGTTCCTAGAAAAGTTCTGGTATACTAACATATGTTTGATTCATAAAACTGACTTTTCACTTAACTTTCATTAACAACTTATGAACCGAGTTGGACAGGTATTAAAAAGGAAGCTGGTGATGGGTCTTGAACTTGAAATAGAGTAATGAAAAGCAAAGAATGCAAGAATTCCAAGTTACTTATATGGTGGGAGCTCCACAGGTCTCTACCTTTTGAAAGATTCCTAGCAAGAAAGCTGCCGTGGAGACGACGGGGCATGAGTCAGGGAGCCAAAAATGCATTAAATACTCACTTCAAAGGGCTGACTTCTTCCTGGACCCATCTCTCTTGACAGCCAAGTATGACCTGTTACAAAGAAGAGATTTTCGGGCCAGTTCTTGTGGTTCTGGAGACGGACACATTGGATGAAGCCATCAAGATTGTAAATGACAACCCATATGGAAATGGAACGGCCATCTTCACCACCAATGGAGCCACCGCACGGAAATATTCTCACATGGTGGACGTCGGACAGGTTGGTGAAAGGAATTTCTAAGACTCTTACAGCTAAGAGGAGGAGACAGTGAACAATGATCAGTCAAGTGCGACTTGTTTCAAGACTGCACCTTTAATTGCCCATAATTCCCCAGTCCTTCCTCAGGAAGAAGAGTACTTAGGGTGGAGCACAGGTACAAGATGGCTACTTAAAATCGCTGCTTCCAAAAAACCCAAACTAAGCAAAGTCTAACATCCAAAGAAAAAAATAAAACAGGGAGGGGGGGCTCTGTTGTCTTTGTCTTCTATCTACGTGGACACTGGTTGGAGCCTTCCGACAGTTGGTGATGTGCGTCTCTTCTCTCTAGGTGGGCGTCAATGTCCCCATTCCAGTGCCTCTGCCAATGTTTTCCTTCACCGGCTCTCGATCGTCCTTCAGGGGAGACACCAATTTCTATGGCAAACAGGTAACTTTGGAGGTGGAATTTTCTTTCCTTTGAGAAACTTTCTTGAACACATTCAGAGCAAGATTACATAAAGGATTGGCTGGAATCTGTTATGGAGTCTTGTCTGCTCTGTTTCTCGGGCTCCTGAAAAATAGATTTAAAAGTTAACAAAATTTTGCCAACCCTGTCTCTTCTTGAGTAACTCAAGACAGTATGTTTAGAGGAAAGAGCGTAAGGAAATCCAAATCTTTGTGTAGATCTTTCTTTTTCCTGTAACCCTGTCATCTGAATAACTTCTAAACATTTATCCTGTCTTGGTTTAAAGATCTTCAAGCTGTTTTGTTTTGTTTTGCTTTTTCATTTTTTTCCGAGACAGGGTTTCTCTGTGTAGTTTTGGTGCCTGACCTGGAACTCACTCTGTAGACCAGGCTGGCCTTGAACTCACAGAGATCCACCTGCCTCTGCCTCCCAAGTGCTGGGATTAAAGGCTTGTGCCACCACCACCCGGCTTGATAGAAATTGTTGAATACCAGTTACTTTGCCATGTTATTTCAGTTTCTGCTTACAACTCTGATAAAAGGTGAGTTTTTAATCACAGACAGGGCTCAAGGTTAAGCTATAGTAAACTCTAAAAGCAGGATCTGAGCAAAGTCTATTGACTTTGCTGCATAGTCAGCTCTGAAATAGAGTGGCGTGAAAATTTAACCAGATTACACTGTTCAGTTTTTCTACTTTGGGTCCCCTATGCTTAAAATTCTAACTTCAGTATATTAATGATGTCTAAGTTTTGACTGTTTAGTATCTAGCAAGTATTATGCTAAGTGTCTTTATTATTTAATTCTTTGTGCCAGAGGTGGGGAGCGGGTATCCATGCGGAGGTCAGAGGACAACCTTGGATATTGATCTTTGCATCTTGACTCCTTGTGTTTGCCAGACTAGCTGGCCCTTGAACTTGCAGACCTTCTCCTCTTTCTGCCTCCCATCTCACCATACAGGATTACTGAAGCTTGCTACTACACCTGACTTTTACCTAGGCTCTAGGAATCTGAACTCAGGTCCTAATGTGGCAACTGCTTTACCCACAAAGACATCTCCTCGGACTTACTTATTTTTTGGAGACATGGTCTTATATATCCTAAGATGGTTTCCAACTCAACTGTTGTAGCTAAGGATGACCTTGAACTTTTGATCCTCCTGCTTCTATCTCTTGTATCTTGGGATTATAGGCATATACTACTACTCCCGTGCCTGGTCTATTCCATGTTGGAGATTGAATCCAGGGCTTCATGCATGTTAGACAAGAATTCTACCAATTGAGTTATATTCCAGTCCTATAAATGTGGTTTTTATTTTGGAGGGGGTTATTTTAATTTTTTATTTATAGGTATTTTGCCTACATATATGTCTGTGTACTATATGCGTGATTGATTCCCTCAGAGGCCAGAAAAGGGTGTTGGATCCCCTGGAACTGGATTTATAGGTGATTGTGAGCTGCCAAGTGGATACTGAGAATCAAACCTGGGTCCTTCTGCAAGAGCAGAGGCACTCTTAACAGCTGAGCCATCTCTCTACACTCCCATAAATCTTTTATCTCATAAACATTGGATTTTGTTGCACCAATTACTCAAATAGGAACATGAGTAGTGTTCATAGCACCACCTTCAAAAATTAATTTTAAGAGTTGATATACTCCTAGAAGTACAAGCTGACGCTTTTTCTCTGTCCTTTTTAGGGCATCCAGTTCTACACCCAGCTAAAGACTATCACATCTCAGTGGAAAGAGGAGGATTCGACTCTTTCCTCACCTGCCGTAGTCATGCCTACCATGGGACGCTAGAAGCAAGTTCTCCCAGACTCAGTCCAACCCGAGCAATCTCCCAGCATTCTTGGCTACCTTCACTTGCCATCTTTGCTCAGATCAGACCCATGAGATTGGAATATGTTACGACTCTCAGAACTGTCAGTCCCTTCCTAGTAATAGGGAGACTACAGGAAACACCATGCTGGGTCTGAACCTGCTCTGCATCCTTCTTTTCTGACTACAGGGAAACACTATGCTGGGTCTGGACTTGTTCTGCATCCTTCTATTCTGGAGGTCATTGTGAAGTGTTTACCTGGAGTCAGAGCTTAGACCTGTCTTCTAACAGTTCTCCTGATGACTTGGAGGGGAATACGTGACAGATCTCCTAATTATTGGAAGGACTCTTGGGTAGGGAAGAAGGATAGAAACAGTTCACCCTCTGGTTGAGCCTCAAACACAGCCCTCCATGATTCCCACACTACATAAGATTTAACCTATTTTTCTTTATTTTCCCCCGAGACAGGGTTTCTCTGTGTAGCTTTGTGCCTTTCCTGGAACTCACTCTGTAGCCCAGGCTGGACTCGAACTCACAGAGATCCGCCTGGCTCTGCCTCCCAAGTGCTGGGATTAAAGGCATGTGCCACCACTGCCCGGGCTTAACCTATTTTTCTTATCCAAACATTTTAAGCACTGCTTCTTTTCTGCTCAGTGGCCCTTTCTTCTCATTTTGATTCATGACCACTACTTAATTCTGTCATTGTCCATGGTCTTTTCTACAATACTTCTCAAAGATACCTCAGGATATAAGTGATGCGCTAGCTTTTTGTTATATGTGCCATGTTTCATGGTTTGCTTCAGCGATCATTAATCAGTGCTCCAGTCATTAATTCAGATGCAAACAAATCCTTAGAAAAATTATTTCACAAATTATTTGTGACCCAGAAATCAAAGAATGTGCCAATCATGAAAATGGGTAAGACTCTTGGCCTTAACCAAACCTATTATTATTTGCCAAATTTTATGTTATTCTTTCTCCTCCTCCTCCTCCTCCTTTTTCTTCTTCTTCCTCTTCTTTTTTTGTTTTTGTTTATTCAAGACAGGGTTTCTCTGTGTAGCTTTGGAGCCTGTCCTGGCTCTCACTCTGTAGATCAGGCTGGCCTCGAACTCACAGAGATCTGCCTGCCTCTGCCTCCCAAGTGCTGGGATTAAAGGCGTGCATCATCACCACCTGGCCTAGTTGAAACTTTTTAATGAAAGTTCTTTTCATATAGAATAATTGATTGGACTACAAGAAACTTAAAAGTTTCCATTCAACTGCCTTTAAACTGGCCTCTCTGATAATCTAAGCCTTAAGTCAGAAGAGACTGATGGCCTGAACAGAAGAGTCTGTCTGTCTGTCTGACCTGTCTGAAGCCCAGCTCTCTGAGCTGGAGGCTGCTGGCTCTGCTAGCCTCGTCATCACGGCTTACTCAGCTGAGGTACTGGTCACTTATTTCACTCTGTTCTGGACAGTCACGTGGACAATGCTGCTCTAGTCTACCGGGTTATTTGATGAGTTAAAATAAAGGTGGTGAAAAGCCTTGAAAATTTCCACTCTGTCGGCATGAGAGTATTCGAGTATCCATCCACCTCTGGTGGAATTCAGAGCCTTCAATAACTTTAACAAAACACAACTCTGATTTTTTGTTTTCATCCTAAAACCAAGTTGAAATTTGTAGTTTGTGATTATAATGCCTTTGTTTTCTTATAAAACATAGTTCATGCCCAATTCAATCCAACAATTTTGGGCTGGGTTGAAAAGTGGTTATTATCTAAATTCCAAGTCGAATTTAATCACAAAGACTCCTATTATTTTCCTTAGATATAAAGGAAGTTACTTTTAACAAATACCAACTAATCAGAATTGTGTTTCTCTAATTAGAATCAACTGACTTGACCGGCTACTTGTACTCAAAAAGTTCCTTGTATCTTAGATGCAATCTACAGTTATATTCAGGTTAGTATCACTAAAATAGAGAACCAGCATTTTCCTCATTTGAGTTTTGTCAGATTATGTACTGATTGTGAATAATCAAATACAAATAAAAAGCCCTTAAAAAAATAGTTTTGAAAAAAAGTCTTTTCCTTCCTGTGTTCTCTAGGTTCCAGTGATCTGTGCTTCTGACATATGCTTACATCCAAGAATTGCAAGGGCATTATATCTGTGCTTCTATAAAAGACAGGAGGACTGCGGGGTGGCTCCATGGGGAGGCACAAAGGTTCAGTCACCAGCACTGAAAACAGTAATAACGCAATACACATTTTGACTAAGCTGCCTATTTCAGAAAGGAATCTATAGGTTCTCCAGGTACATAGAATATGCCTTATTAGTATGGACGTTGTTATAAAATTTTCTATGCAGGCAGTGGTGGCACATGCCTTTAATCCCAGCCCTTGGAAGGCAGAGCCAGGAGATCTCTGTGAGTTCAAGGCCAGCCTGGGCTACAGAATGAGTTCCAGGAAAGGCTCCAAAGCTACAGAGAAACCCTGTCTCGAAAAAAAAAATAAAAAAATAAAAATTTTTTTCTATGCCGTCATCCCTAAGAGCTGTTTGGGGCCGGGCGGTGGTGGCCTTTACTCCCAGCACTCCAGAGACAGAGCCAGGAGGATCTCTGTGAGTTCAAGGCCAGCCTAGTCTACAGAGTGAGTTCCAGGAAAGGCACAAAGCTACACGGAGAAACCCTTCAAAAAAAAAAAAAAAAAAAAAAAAAAAAAAGAGCTGTTTGGGAAGTAGAGAACTGTGAACTAGCAAGACATCCCATAATGAAAGGTACAGTGGTACCCTGTCTGATTAGATAACAGAGTCCTTACTATGTCAGAGTCCGGTAATTCTTTAGAAATAACGCTGGGTGACATCACTTTACTGGAGTCTGACACTGGAGCTTGCTGGGTGATGAAGGTTTGATCTGGAAGGTTGATTTCTTCCCTATAATAATGACAAAACAGTGCTGTCAACACTCATGCATGCCAAGTCATTCTCACTTCACTCGGGATATTCACTCGGAATATCCACAAGGGAAATATATCCATCAGGCTTTGTTCAGAACTCTGGCAGGAGAAATCTTACCCGGTTTCTTTCACTTCTCCACTGTCAGGAATGATGTGGTCTGGAACAGGAGGCTTAGAACTCTGATTGTATTTCCTGTGGGGAGAAACGTCAATAAACAAAAGAGCCAGTGTCTCCTTGTGCCTTCCTGTTTCAATACCCTCAAAATGCTGAGTCAGACTTCAGTTGGATAAGGTTTCCATTTTCAGAATGAGTTATATACATAGATAAATTTTGGTTTTGTTTTATTTTTTGTTTTTGGTTTTTCGAGACAGGGTTTCTCTGTGTAACAGCCCTAGCTGTCCTAGAACTCTCTTTGTAGACCTGGCTGGCCTCGAACTCACGGAGATTTTCCTGCCTCTGCCTCCCAAGTGCTGGAATTAAAGGTATGTGCTACCACCGCCTGGCTGAGATGTGATATATTATGTAATTGAATATAATTGCTTAAAGTTGAGACACGTTGAATTCAAGAAATATTTATGGAGACAACCATAATGAAGGTACTCATGAACAGTGATTAATGACTAAAGGCAAGGCTGAATGAAAGAACTGATCAAAACACCCAGAAAAGTTCCTTTCTCCCAAATGAGCCTCATGGAACTAAGGATGGATCAGTGGGTAAGAGTACTTGCTGTAAAAGCAAGACCTGCAGGG